TACACAACTATCAAACAATCTTGTGAAATTCTAGAATCAGTAAGAGAAGAATTATAGGGTATTTCTCAAACAGAAGACTTAATGAATTTACCGATAAAGTACAAGTCCATACTGCAGATGTATGAAGATATCTAATATTCATTCTGTTATAATTGAATTATGCATATATGTATAGACTTATTTTAGTGAGTCTATTACATAATGTGCACCAAGAAGTGCGTCACACAAAATCTCATGCCTTGCACAACAACTAGGATACTTTCCGAACGCCCAAATCAAAGCGGATAATTGTTTAAGGGCTACCTTCCAACCCCTTGACTTGAATTCCGGCCCACAAGTTTGTGGAGCTGCTTTTCCACGATCGCCGGTGACTGACACGGATTCAACGCTATTCAATCCATTCCGATTCTGTAGCTCATATACACTATGAGTTTGCGATCAGGATTTTCCAGCTATCCTAGGCAAACCAGTTTGCCTACCAATCGTGCCACAAGCGCCATACGTTTGCATTATCCCTCTCACATTCGTGAGGGACATGACAAGACTGAACCAAAAACCAACTATTTATTTAATTCTGTTTGGAAGGATATCAGCGAATATTTAAAAAATGAGAAAATAGACATAAGATGTGAATCTCTTGGACGTTTCGTTTTGTTTACAAAACAAAATTTGCAAAATAGTAATTTTTAAATGCAAAATCGAAACAATGATTCATAAATATTTCATTAATTCTCAATTAATTCGCCTATTCTTATTCTATGACTAAGTGTAAGATATAATTTGCGATACAATTATAACTGAAATTCGTGTCTCTCTGCCCTCTCTATATATCTCATCGTATATATATATATATATATATATATATATATCATGTTGACAGGTCGCCTCAAATTAATCTCTTGACTGACTTTCTCTTCAAGTGATGATTCATGAAATATAAAGTGAAAGTATTAAATGATGCTGCATCCACTACTGATCTAATTCCTATAAGTAGTATTTTTTACTTTGTATTTCATAAATACAAACGAAGTAGTTATTACAAGTGAGAGAAAAAGGGATATTTTAGGTGCTATTGAGATTTATTATTACTTGGAGTTGGACATTTCATACACAAATCCTTTCTAATGAGTTTCGATAAAGCAATAATAACATAAATTGAAGATTTATTAGATAACAAGGTGTTATGGGTTCATTAGATTTTATTTTAATTTTAGTTATAACTGTATTATCATTAAACACGACATTTGAATATTCAGAATATTTACAACAATCACTAGACTTGTATTCAAAGCATTTATTCTCCTTCCCTAGATGGCTTCAGTCCTGGAGGTATATGAAATATCATACATATGAAGTGACTTTCGCTTTAGTCACAGCGTTTCTTTTAAATATTTCTTGGTGTCGAATAGTACTCAGCAGGCAGCCCTGAACTTATAGCTCATATGTATTTGTTATCTTCAGCAAGAGGCGTCTGAAGCATCAGAGAAACTGTTTTTCCCTCTTTGATTAGAACCAGCGTTACCGATGTTGGCAACTCCCTACTGACCAGTCTGTGTATCCAATGCTTTCCTACGGAGAGTCAGTCACAGCTTGATTAGTTCACTGATGATATTTCTTATCGCCTCGCTAGGGGACGCGGGTTTTAGGTCACGAAGGGAACAGCTGCTTACACAAGGTTTCAGATACATCCCACTAATTGGTACCAATAAAGATGAAGCTTAGGTCTCATTAGTCACTCTTAATCATCTAAAAGGGATTTAGTGCAAAACTTGATGGCATGTCAGTTTACTCACTGAATGTGTCGTAGACCTGTCTGACGTAACTTAAGAAGAATACTAAGGATTACAAACACGACAGTGATTTTTCACCAGTATTAACAACAGTTTACTGAATAAACCTCAACTTATTAATGGCTCTCATGAAAGTATTACATCAAACAAGAGTATTATATTATTACTATTGTATTATTGCTCCCTTTAGGTCCTAGCGGAACATAGGGCTTCAACTGCACGTCTCCATTTGCTTCTGTCTTCTACTGTACTTTTCACCTGCATCCATGTTAGTCCATATTCTTTCAACTCCCCTTCACACGATCTCCTCCATGTCACCCTTGGACGGCCCATTTCCAGATTGATTTCAGGTTGATGAATGTGTTTCTCGCCTTCCCGATTCTCGATTTGACATCCTCGTCCGTTCCTCCTGTAGTTGAGACAATGCTCCCTAGATAAGTGAATGAAGTAACCTCTTTCAAATCCCTCCCGTTGATGGTGATTGACGTTGATTGTTGCTGATGTTGTTGTTTGGGTTGGTTATTTTCATAACCTCCGTCTTGTCTATGTTTACCTGGAGTCCTGTCTTCGCCGGCTGCTTCTTCGACCAGTTTGTCGGTTTTCGCTTGTAAGTCTTCGATTTTGTGTGACATCAAACATAAATCATCCACGCGCGAAATCCAGGTCTTCTAGGTTCTTCACGTCGGTCCAGGATATTCCTGTCTTCTCGTTTCCCACTGTCTGACGCATAATCCAGTCCACCACAATTAGGAATATCATTGGTGATAGTAAGCACCCTTGTCTGACTCCTGTGTTTACTCCAAACGCCTCGCTGAGTCTTCCGTTGTGGATCACTTGGCAGGTGCCGTTGTCGTACAGCTGTTGAATAAGGTTGATGAATATTTGGGGTACGCCATAGTACTCGAGTAATTTCCAAATTACTTCACGATCAACGCTGTCGAAGGCCTTCTCAAAGTCTATAAAGTTGAGGTAGAGGTTTGATTGCCATTCCATGCTTTGTTCTGTGATGATGATGCGTAGAGTTGCAATTTGGTCAGTACATGATTTGCCTTTCCTGAATCCAGCTTGTTCTGGTCGGAGTTCTGTCTCCAGTGCGTCCTTTAATCTCTCCAGGATGATGCGACTCAGGATTTTACTTGGCGTCGATAGGAGCATGATTCCTCGCCAGTTCTTGCAGAGTGAGGCCTAAGTCGCCCTTCTTTGGTAGTTTCACGAGGTAACCTTTCCTCCAGTCAGTAGGCACCTTTCCCTCCTTCCAGACCTTTTGCAATAATGGAGTCAGCATGTCTGCTGTAGTCTCTGGGTCTGCTTTCAGTGCTTCAGGGGGTATTCCATCTGGTCCGGCTGTTTTTCCAGCTTTCAGAAGCTTGATTGCATTCAAGACTTCAGCTCTCGTTGGAGGATTGGTGTCAACTTGCAGTTGTGTGCGCGCTGTTGTTGGTATTTCTGGACGGGTTGCAGGTGATGGTCGGTTCAAGAGTCCTTTGAAGTGATCCGCCCATTGTTTAATCTGTTTTTCTTCCTTGGTAATGGGGTTCCCTTGGCTGTCTTTTATAGGTTTCGCTTGTGTTGGTCTCTTCCCGGATAGAGATTTGGTTATCTGATATAGTGTCCTCAGGTCCCTTTTGCCTGCTGCCTTTTCAGCTTCAGTGGCTAGATTGTCGTAGAATCGTCTTTTGTCCTTCCTAGCACTCTTCTTCACTTCTTTGTCCAGTGCTTTGTAAGTTGAGCTCATCGTCTCCTTCTCCTGTCCGTCCTTGCATTGAATCATTTTCTCTTTCACCATTCTCCTCTCTTCTATTAATTTCCAAGTGTCCGTTGAGAGCCATTCCTTGTCTTGTCTCTTCTTTCTTCCTAGAACCGTTGAACACGTTTCGTTGAGAATCGCCTTCAGAGACTTCCAATGTTCTTCCACGCATGATTCTTCAGTGATGTCGCGTAGTGTTTCCTGCTTTGCTCTGACAGTTGCAGTGAAAGTGTCTTTTGTGGTTGTGTCCTTCAGTAATTGAGTGTTGAACTTGCATTGTGGCCTATCCCCAGCTATCCTCGAGGCTTTTAGTTTCACCTTGAAAGTCCCTTCTACTAGATAGTGGTCTGAACCCACATCTGCTCCTCTCCTTGACCTTGTGTCCAGTAGGCTCCGTCTCCACTTTCTTGAAATTGAGATGAAGTCTATTTGGTTCTTGGTGTTTCCATCTGGTGAAATCCATGTCGTCTTGTGTATATCCTTGTGTTTGAACACACTACCGCCAATCACCAAATCATTGAAGGCGCAGAAGTCTGAGAAGAGTTCACCATTGTCGTTCATTTCACCGAGGGCCTCACGACCCATGGTGAGTTCTCTTCCTGTGTTGTCTCCTCCCAGCTTCGCATTCATGTCGCCCATCAGGATTTTGATATCGCCATTTGGGACGTTGTCCATTATTGCTTGTAGTTGTCTGTAGAACGCCTCCTTCTTCTCTTGTTCTGAGACGTTTGTAGGCGCATAACATTGAATGACTGTAACTTTCCTTCCTTTTGAGTTGAACCTGGCTGTCATTATCCTGGAGGAGATTGGTTCCCACTGCATGAGAGCTTTGGTTGCTGTTGGTGACATCATGATGGCCACTCCCTCGGTGTGCTCATGGTTGTCCTCTGGGTGGCCGGAATAGATTACTGTCTCTCCAGTAGGTAGTTGGCACCTTCCAGTTCCGTTCCATCTGCTTTCGCAGATTCCCAACACTTCTATTCTGTACCTTCTCATTTCAGCGGCTATCTGGGCAGCCTTTCCAGTTTCGTACATTGTACGAACATTCCAGGTACCCATCCTTACTTTTGCTTTCATCGAAAGAAGGCACATCGGCTGACTGGCTTCCCGAAGGCTTTCACCAGCCTGCGTCATTTCACTTCCCCGATTCCAGCGAAAAGTAAGGCTATTGCTTATGTTTTTAGAATTTTTAATATATTTATTCGTTGAAGTTTCTGTAGCGATTTGGTTGTTTTACAGGGGTGGAGTTGCTAGCACCACGCCCCAACCCTCCCTCTTTACCCGGGCTTGGGACCGGCGAGAAAACTAGTAAGCTAGTAGCCTAGCAAGCTAGTATCTGGCGAGGTTTCAAACAAGAGTAAGTTTATGAAAAATCTTTTTGTCTGTATGAAAATGATTGGACAAAACTAATCACTTATAAATTTAGTACATATTAAAAATTTTTTCCTTCCTTTCCTCTGTAGATTTTTCATTGCAAAAGATGGACAAATTTATTTGGGTCGTTCAAAACTGGATCGTGAATTATATCCATTGTATGAATTGACAGTTCGTGTAGAAGATCAAGGTTCACCGAAATTGTCATCTACAACTATTGTCCTTATCCATGTCTTAGATGTGAATGACAATACTCCAAGATTTATATTCCCTTCTGTTGGTAATAATACGGTATACGTTCCAAGGGAGACAAAGTAAGTTTACTTATGCATGAAGGATATATAAATATATTTATGTTAGCTTAGTTGTTAGGTCAACTGGCTAGTAATCTGAAGACCTGGCTGCAGTTTTGCTGTGATCTGTTTTAACCTAAACATCCAAGTCTACCTCAGATAGTTTCATTATCATATATATAATACATAATTTATTATTATTCTCGGGTTCTGAGTGAAACACAGGGCATCAGTAGTACATCTGCATTTCACCCTACTCTTTGCAATCTTCTTTGCCTGGCCCTACAAACGCCAGTAACATTTCGTTTCTTTCTTCGACAATTTCCCTGTGTTACTGTCAGAAGCCAAACTCGTCGTTTTCCACTTGGGTTCCACTTGAAGGCTTAATGTGCGATGTTACAAAATGGTCACCTTAGTGTGTGTCTGATACATCCCCATCTCCTTCTGCACATTTGTTAGGTGGTGAGTTGTTTGTTAAGTCGTTGCTAGAGGTTCTTGTTTCTTATCCTTTCTGACCATCTGATATTCCATCTGTACTTTATCTTCTCATTTACTTGGCACTCTGGACACCCTTTCCAGCCTAGGACATTGTCCCAATATTCCATGTCACCATACTTCGTCTTGCATTCGTCAACTGACTGGCTTCTCGAAGGCTTTGACTTACTAGCGTCATTTCTTCTCTTTGATTCCGGAGAAGAATTTGCTTACTTTGTTCGTACAGTGAGGTTTCTGCAGCGGTTGAATTGATTTTGTGTGATACAGTCGCCAGCCTTAGGACTGACCACCATTGATTTTTCGGGCTTAAGGCTGGTTAGTAAACTAGTCGAGTTTATATATGCGTATTTTGTATTCTGGGTAATATTCTAATTTGAAAGTACCTACAGAAACATTTCTAAAACAACTCAGAGATTATTTGCATAAACCTAATCCTTTTAATGATATAAATTATTTTAAATATCTCAGAGTGCTTAGGAAAAGGTCGAAACAAGATTTTTCTGAACGTTTTGCTCTGTAAGGTACTTCTTCCTCAGCAAGATTTTTAGTTAGGTTTCGAACTTGCGTACCAAAATTACTCATTGGGAAATAAATCACATTCTGCCGATATAATGCCACTTCCAATAACATTATCAGCGACGTGTTACGTTCCGATTCAGTTTGAGATTAAATCTCAGCAGGAGTATTCTCGTCGGAAATCTTTTACTTTCCCCTGGATAACGTCTTCAACGTCAATTTCTGTGTGGAGTGAGATTAGGGAACACTTCATGGATGGAATATCCATCTTTCCTGATAACTTGGTATGCGATCAACTACCCATCAATATTCTCTTTCGACTGTGTTGACTTGTGTTGATACTTATCATTTCGTTGTCCCTACATTTAGCCTTCCGTTCAGCGCCCCAAGGTAATTAGCTATTAACAGACAGGAATGACAACAGATTGTTGCCAGTTAGAGAACTACTGGAAACCAGAGAGTAGTGGACACCCTTTTTGCCATAGTTTGGGAATCATCAGCAGTATGAACCCACCTGGGTTCGAACTCAGGACAAGGTGATATACACCAAATTCATCAGTCTGAAAAAGAGTAAGTCAAACTACTAAAAGATAAAATATAAAGTCAACGAAACGACCATTATCGACGCAGGAGAATACGAGCAAAACAGAATCTTTGGGGAAACCAGTCATCTGAAGTGACAGTGATTTCATCCGTGGAGAATCATTAAGATCTGTTTTAGACAAAGTTAACTATGATAATGTTGTTGAGAAGGACCGTGAAAACGTCACTATTAAAAAATTCGCATCAGTGAATACAAAAATACCTTTAACATCCACTCGCGTTACAAATCTTCTTCATTACTCGAGGAGTAATCTATGAAATTTCTAGTGATTCGTATTATGAGCTCTGTGTGCACTTATTTCACTTATCTTTTTTCGAACAAATTAAAAAAGAACAACCTTGATCTTTCATTAATTAATAAAATATGGTAGTTAGAAGAGAAAAGATATGTCATATTAAGAAATTATTCGTTACATAATAACCTAATGACTATTTAACATACTTTTCACATACTATTTATGTGCACTAATATCTATGTACCTACCGCAACTTAAGCGTATTTAGTAGAGTTATGTCATAGACTTGTAGTTTGCTCTTTAACTGATTTTGCTTTTTACTCTATATTTGTTCACCTAAAGTTTACATGTATGTTTCAGCTGAATTATGCATTTATAAAAAATAGGATCTGTCTCTTCACTTATATTTATCTACCAGAAGGAAACATTTTTTCAATTATTCGATTTTGATGTCACAGTATTAGGAAAATTCCCCAGCTGTCGATATATACATATATAATACTACAGTTAATAGTATGTAAAGATGATTTAACTATGCACCTAAATATCTACCTAATACGATTTTAGCATAGTCAGAAGTTGCTTCGGTGGCGCATCGGTAGGACGCTCGCCGACCACGCATGTGGTCTGGGATTGGATCCCTGGCCAACTCACTCCTTACCTCACTAAGCCAGTAATAAGACTGGTAAAGAGGGAAGATCAGGCATGAGGCTAGCAACCTCAACCCCTGAAAGCAAACATCAATGCTACCAAAATACAAAAAAAATGAACAGGGAAGGTTTCATTGAACATTGAGTTTTATGAAGGGTTTGTGAAATCATGAATATTCTTCAAAGAGAAATTAAGAAATGCATCTCAGTTCCTTTGTTTTCTGTCATATCATAATCCCTTGTTAGATTTTTACAGTTAAGTTTTATTAATGTATTGCCGTAGATAATTCTAGTAGGAGACAGATTTTAATGTCAGTCGATAATAAAACAAGTTGAGTTGTATTCTGAGAACAAAACTAGCGAAATGTAGGACGTAATTTAACAGTCTTGCGTAATCTAAGACAGTAGGTGATGAACCGCGTTCAGAAATGATTATAGTTTTAATTTAAGGAACATGGATATAGGAATACTGTCCTTTAGGGTAAATGCTTTTTAAATGCGTATAGCAAATTTTTTAAATTGGCAGACTGAAAAGGAAAATAAAGACAGATTACATTCAAATTTATGCTACAGCAAATATAGATATATGTAAAGTAGTGGTAGTAAATAGGTTTGGTTAAACTGCTTTTGTGAAAAAGTTTAAGCGCTTTACTCATACGTAATAAAAACCAATGGCTGTACAAAGGTGTGGATGGAAACAGTTCGAACGGTTGTTATTATCCAAGCGTCATTTAGAACGACTTCTGTAATAACTCGGAATGATACAGGAGAGCAAAATGCTTAAGAATTTACCTACCGGTTGGGCTAATTTATCTTCTTGACACCGAAACTAGATGTTCCTGTCTACATCCAGGTAATTTCTGTGTCAAAACATATTAGATATTTATTTCATCAGTAAAATTCAATGGTTTCCATACTTTGTCAGTATATTCGTATGTTTTTGGAATTAACTAAAAATTATTTGTTTTCTGACATTTTTATGAAAACAACAGTGATATAGATACGCATCTTACCCTATGCGAGTTAGCACAGGGTCTTTAGGACAAACAGTACAGTGTCTAGAACTCTTAAATTCTACGGGTATAACCAATTTGGCTGTCTAGCAGTAAGGCTCAGTGAATATCTGTTCATCAGCTTCGATATTTAGTCAGCATGACTTCACAGCTTAGTATGGTGCAAAGCAATCTGATTTTTGAGCAGAACTGAGATACGACAAATACACTGCTTACAGACATTCCAATATATAGTCAAATTAAATTCTACGTCATTTCAGAAGTTATAAAGTCCTTCACGAGAAATTTCATCGCGAAAGGAACATAACTTCTCGCGAAGTTTTATCCTACTTTTGTTGAAAGCGTCGACCAGGAAAAAAACCCAAGGTCATTTATTGCTGCCAACTAATTCCCAACTTATACCGGCTAGAAATCAATTGCTTGAAGTAGCTTAATCAATAAATTCTCTTGGTGAAAGCTGTGGAATTACTTGTACAAAAGATAAGAGTCCGCCAAAAAATGTTTAAATGTATTTTACTTGGCCATGTTGTCTGATAGTTGTTATACACAAGAGGTAATCATTTATCACACCAGGATTAATGGACAGAGCGAAAACGTGACAATAATCTGCCAAATCTGTCTTATTATATCTACTTATCAGCTAAATAGCTCTCTTGTGTTGGCTGATAGGGATTTCATTGATTTCAGGTTTGACTATGAACTGAGTTGAGCTGGAGAACCATTGAAATCCAAGGTCTGCCGAGGAGCTGCTTCGTCTGTCTGAGACTTTTCCTTGTCATGCTCCTATAGTCCCAAACAGGATCTAGTCTAAGTCCTTCAGGTTACAGGATGGAGCTTCTTGAGTTACTTTCGGGAGTTCGTGACCCTTGGAGTACACCAAGTTTGGTATGAAGACAGATAGTTACCGATGACACTGGCTAGCCGTCAGGCTTCAGATCGGGGATTCGTAGAAGTTAGAATTGAAGGAAGTTGAATCCCATCCCGGTGGTTGATTGGTCTATTAGCTCACCTTGTAATCTGAAAGTCCCCAGTTAGTGTCTTGATGGAATCATGGGTGCGTAGTGGTAGGGTGTCCCAAACAGGGAGGAAATAGTTGTCTAGTACTCAACTGTATACATATGTATTTCATAATTGTCCATCAATTTCAATAAAAGATAATTACATTAATCTCTATAAATAAATGCATAATTTGGTAGTTATCAACCACGACTATTAGACTTAGTCGTTCAGTCAACTAATTAATTTTTCTCTAAAGTTTTATAATTATGTCAGTATACTAATACGCAAGTAATCAGGGGGAAAAACTCGTATAGAGAAACAGACATATATATGCATATATAAAGTACTATGGTAATATAAATTACTAAATTAATTTCACAGTTAGTCATTCGTAATTCCGTTCTGTTGAAAAGGATAAAAAATCGACAACAACAGCAACAGCAACAGGAGGGCTAATAGATGACTGGACAAATAACTGTCAAAAACTATATTTCCAAAATAATAAACTGGAAA